TTTTTTATTGTTATTTTTTTTCTTTTTTTTTTTTTTTTTTTTTTAAAGTTGACCAACGAGAGGCAGAGAAAGGGGGAAATTGAGAAAGCAAGCTGCCAGGTCTGGAACTCGAACCATGGTCAGCCATGTGGGAGACCAGCTGCCTTAACCACCATGCCACTTGCCAGCTCCCCGACCCCTGATATGATTTTCAAATATGAACTGTGGTCACCCATGTAGGAGTCCAGCACCTTAAGGACTAGGCCACCTGCTGACCCTGAGACCTGTTTTTTAAATTTTTATTTTTTGTTTATTTATATGTTTTAGGTTTTTGCCATAGGGTGTGTGTACTCATCAGAAAGAAGAGACAGGCATAGAGAGGGAAAGTGAGAAATCATCCTTCAGGAGGCTGACCAGGTGGCAGTCCTTTTTCTTCCATTCTCTTCTTGGGATTCTGGGCATACATGCATATACTCCTGTCCTGATTTTCAAGCCACTGAGTCCAGAACTGAAGCCATGGTAGTCGACCATGTAGGAGTCCAATGCCACAACCAGCGTGCCACTTGCTGGCCCCAGTTTTACAATTTTTTGTTTTTAGGTTTTTGCCATAGGGCATGTATGTTTGCTGGAGAGAGCCAGAGACAATGAGAGGGAAAGTGAAAAATCACCCTCCCCCTCCCCGGGGAGATTGCTGTGCCACAGTGAATTCTCCTCTATTGTCTTTCTGGGACTTTAGAGATGCATGCACATGTGCTGGTGTGATTTTCAAGCTGCCAAATCAGGGACTCGAACTGTGGTTGGCCATGTGGGAATCTAGCACCTTAACCACCATGCTACGTGCTGGCACCAAGAGACTTGTACATTCTTTTTTCTTTTTCAAAGAGGTTTTGCATTCGATGTGTCTGCTTGTCGGAGAGAGAGACAGAGACAGTGAGAGGGAAATATGAATCACTCCCAGTGGGGATGGCCATGTTGCAGTCTCTTCTCCGTTTTTTCTTTTCTTTTTTTTGGAGAGGTTTTTCGCTATAGGGCGCGTGCACTCGCCAGACAGACAGAGAGAGACATAGAGACAGAAAGCGAGAAATCACCCCCCACGGGGGATGGTCACGCCGCAATCCCTTCTCCATTCTCCTCTCGGGATCTGGGGCAAGCACACACACGCACCTGGCTTGAGTTTTCTTTCTTTTTTTTTTTTTTCTTTTTCTTTCTTTCTTTCTTTTTTTGGGAGAGATTTTCACTATAGGGCGCATGCGCTCGCCAGACAGACAGAGAGAGACATAGAGACAGAAAGCGAGAAATCACCCCCGGGGGGATGGTCACACTGCAATCCCTTCTCCATGGGCCTAGTGTGAATTTGAAACTGTGAGTCTGAAATTAAAATTTGCTAAAAGATTTCTGTAATTCAAAATTGTACAAATGCATGTGTATTTCTGTCACAGACTTGTTGTCAGAGAAGGTATTTAAAAATTTTTTTAAGAAAACAATTATTTATTTAATTCCATTTGTTATTATTATTTAATTTGAGCAGCAAGAGACAGAGAAAGGGAAAGTGAGAGAGTGAGTTATCAGGTCTGGGACTTGAACTGCAGTTGGCTGTGTGGGAATCCAGCACCTTTAACCACCATGCCACCTGCAGGGCCGGTAAATATTTTTTAATGATTTTTAAAATTTATTTATTATTATTATTATTTTTCACATGTGTTTTGCCAGAGAGGGAGAGAGGAAGACGGAAAGAGAGAAAGCGAGCTGCCAGGTCCAGGACTTGAACCACAGTCAGCCACATGGGAATTCCAGCTCCTTAACCACCACGCCACCTGCTGGCCCCCACCTTTTTAAAAGAATTATTTATTTACTTATGATTATTTTTGGTAATTTTGGGAAAGAATTATTTTGTTTAACTTTTTTATGCATTTATTTTTAAATTTTAATTTGACCACAGAATGATTGAGAGCGAGAGCGAGAGCGAAAGAGAGATACTGAGAGTGAGAAAGCAAGCCACCAGGTCTGGGACTCAAGCCACCGTCTGCCATATGTGAGTCCAGCGGCCTTAGCCACCACGCCACCTGCTGGCCCCCAGATTTTTTTTTTTGGAGAGGTTTTTTCTTATAGGGTGCATACACTCACCAGAGAGACACAGAGATAGAAGGTGAGAAATTGCTGCCCAGGGGAGATGGCTACGCTGCAATTCCTTCTTCTTCCATTCTTCATTCTTGGGACCCTGGGCATACATGCTCGCTGTGAGTTTAAGCCACTGGGTCTGGGACTTGAACCGTGGTCGACTACATGGGAGTCCAGCGACATTGCCATTATGCCAACTACTGGTCCCTGAGAAGGTATTTTTTTAAAAAAATATCTTCAATAGGAACCAGCAGATGACAATTGTTATGTTGCTGGACTCTTACATGGTTGACTAAGGTTTGAGTCCTGGATCTGGCTATTTGAAACTCACTGTGTGCTCATGGCCAAAATCCCAAGAGGAGAATGGAGAAGAGATTGCCATATGGCCATCTCTCCTGGGGGGCCAATTTCTTGCTTTCTGTCTCTCTCTGTTTTTCCGATGAGCACATGTACCCTATAGCAAAGCTCTCTCTTTAAAAAAAAAAAAGTCTTCAGTACATAAATGGCAGTTTTCTAGTATGGGAATTCAGAGGTAAGGCAACCATCTTTTAGTTTAAAATAAGTTTTATCTGCATAAATGATACCGTCATTAATGAAATCTTGATAAATGATACCATCATTAATGAATCTTGCTTTGATCACCATGCCTTCCTTGTCTGCTTCTTAGTTTTGCAGATTAAGAAACTCAGTTTTATTATTTGTACATCAAGACTTTAAAAATTTTTTCAACAGCTTACATACTAACCAAATTTTAGTAGGCTATAACATGTAAATCAGAATATCTATTTGTTAATTTATAGAAAAGGTTTATCTTTCCATTTACCAAAATGCTAGTACTCATTGTCTAGAGCACGCCTTTCTTTATCCAAGGTACAAGGGAAGCTGATTATTAGTAAATCAGCCATTTGTTTTGTGAGGGTAGAATTAGAGAGATGGATTTATTTAGGGTATAGAAAATCCTGACAAACTATTTTTTTTTTTTTTTTTTTTTTTAAATTTTACTCAGCTTTATTTATTTAATTTATTTATCTTCACTTGACCAGAGAGGGACAGAGCGAGAGAGAGAAAGCAAGAAAGCAAGTCGCCAGGTTTGGGACTTGAACCGTGGTCGGCCATCTGGGAGTCCAGCACCCTTAACCACCATGCCATCTGCTGGCCCGACAAACTATTCTTGTACCATAAAACTTCACATTTCTGGGGATAAGAATCCCCCCCCCTCCTTGTTCTATTTACATTATCATTGTTCTTCACGGTATACCAAAGTAATGTTTCTAGCATCATACACTGCGGAAAGGAATGTTTTACAGAGAGAAACATTTTCCCTTTAGAAGAACTAAGCTATATTGTTTACTCTTCCAGAGTCCTTTTTTTTGTCTTATATATTTTATTTTATTTTATTTTATTTTATTTTATTTTATTTTATTTTATTTTATCTTTAGAGACTTTTTGCTGTAGGGTGCATGTACTTGCTGGAGGGACAGAGAGAGAGAAAGAGAGACTGAATGCGAGAAATCACCCCCTAGGAGGGATGGCCATGCTGCAGTCCCTTCTCCTCCATTCTCCTTTTGGGATTTTGGGCATGCATGCACATGTACTTGGCTGTGATTTTCAAGATGCTAAGTCCAGAACTTGATCCTGAGAGTTGGCCATGTGGGAACCAGCATCTTAGCTACTATGCCACCTCCTCTCCCTTTTTCTGTATCTTTTTAAAAGGTTATTAAAAAAAAAAAGGGGGGGGGGCAGCAGGTGGCATGATGGTTGAGGCTCTGGATTCCCACATGGTGGACCACAGTTTGCAAGCCCTGCCCTGGTGGCTTGCTTTCTCACTTCCTCTTTCTCTCTCTCTCTCTCCCGTGTCTCTCTCTCTGGTCATATTAAAAATTAATAAATAAAAGTATTTCTTTAAAAAAATTAAAAAGGTTATTTTATTTCTTTGAGAAGCTGGTGAGGGATGGACAGTTCCTAAACATGTCTTCTGGTTAAAATCCACCCTCAGCCTCAGCCATCCCAGATTTTGGCCATGCATTCATGAACCTGGTATGTACAAGGAGGCCCCAGACATGAACCTGGGACCTACTCATGTGGGTCCAGCATTGCAGAGCATTGTGTTAATAAACTGCACTGCTGTACTGGTCTTGGGGGGTTCCTTTTCTGTCTACATGTTCCTTCTTCTAGTCTGTCTAGTTTCACTAAGATTTGGTTATATTCATCAGATTACATGTAAATCACCTTGATAGATTTGAGAAATGCTAAATCTGTGCTACCTCATTAAACTGTCTAAATCTTTTTTTTTTTTTTTGAGAGGTTTTTTTTTTTTTTTTCACTATAGGGCGCGTGCGCTCGCCAGACAGACAGAGAGAGACACAGAGACAGAAAGCGAGAAATCACCCCCAGGGGGGATGGTCACGCTGCAATCCCTTCTCCTCCATTCTCCTCCTGAGATCTTGGGCACGCATGCACACGCGCCCGGCGTGAGTTTTAAGCCACCGGGTCTGGGACGCGAACCGCGGTTGACTACATGGGAGTCCAGTGACATAGCCATTACGCTAACTGCTGGTTCCCTGTCTAAATCTTTTTTAAAAAATTATTTTTTTTAACTTTATTTTAATGTGACCATAGAGGGACAGAGTAAGAGAGAGAGAGAAAGTGAGAAATCAAGCTGCCAGGTGTGGAACTCAAACCACGGTCAGCACCCTTACCCACCATGCTACCTGCCCATGTGTAAATCTTAGGTTGTAGTCACTTGTACAGGAGGCAGAGCTCATCTCTTACTTTTTTTTTTTTTTTCTTTAAATTTTGACTATAGGGTACATGTACTTTCCAGAGAGAGAGGTTAAGTAAGAAATAACTACACAGGGGTTATAGTCACATTGCAGTCCCTTCTCCTCCAGTCCCCTCTCAGGATTTTTGGCATATATGCATATGTGCCTGGTATGACAGAGAGAGATGGAGAGAAGGTGAGAAAGCAAGCTGCCAGATCTGGGATTCAAACTGTGGTTGGCCATGTGAGAGTCCAATGCCTAACTACCATGCCACCCCGTTAGCTCTCCCTCTACCCAGCCCCTGTGTGATATTTCAGTTTTTCCCAGGATCAGAGACTTGGACTATACAGCTGGCCAAGTGGGATCCAGCACCTTAACCTCCATGCCACCTAATGGCCTTACATTTTTGTTCAAATTGTTCCTTGAAGGTATCTTATTTTACATCTGGAAATATCTTTTTTGCCCTTCTCTATTTGCTTAGGGATGTATCCATGTATATGAATGTTTATTTTTTTGGCTCAATGGATAGAGTAATAGTTAAGAGTCTGTAGACTATCCTGAAATATATACTGTCAAGGTAATGTTTATGTTTACCTGAAATTCTGTTAGCTTGGTTAATTTATTTTTTCTTCCCTCAAATGTTTTTCTACTTCACATAGGAGAAGAGGGTTGTGATGAGTTCTGGAGGGCATCAACATTTGGTCAGCTGTTTGGAGACATTGCAGAAGGCTCTCAAAGGTTTGTTACCTTCAAAATAGTCTGATCACATAAAAACTCAAGCTTAAGAGGAATTGTTTTATACTTTCATTTGAACTATAAATTGTGACAGGTTATCTTTTTTTTTTTTTTTTAAAGATTTAACTTTATTCATTATTATTATTATTTTAAATTTTACGAGAGAGAGACAGAGAGAGAGAGAAAGCAAGTTGCCAGATTTGAGACTTAAACTGTGGTTGGCCATGTGGGAGTCCAGCATTCCAACCACCACACCACCTGCCATCCCCCAGGACATCTTTCTTACTACAATGCTTTCTTTTTTAATTTTAATTTTTATTTGCCAGAGGAAAGAGAGAAAGAGAAAGCAAGAAAGCACCCCCCAGGGGGAATGATCATACCAAAATCTGTTTATTTCTCTCTTCTTTCAGGATCTTGGGCATGCATGTATATGATGTGTTTTTCCTTTCCTTTTTTCCCCTAAAAATTATTTGATTGGGGCCAGCAGGTAGCGTGGTGGTTAAGGGTGCTGGGCTCCCACATGGCCAACTGTGGTTCAAGTCCCAAACCTGGCGGCTTACTTTCTCACCCCCAGCCCCCACCAAATTTAAGTAAACAAACAAACAAATAAATAAATAAAGTTAAATAAAATGATTGTTCAGAAAAAGAATTATTTAATTTTATTTATTTTTATTATTTTTTAATTTGACCAGAGAGATAGAAAGAGAGAGGGAAAGTGAGAAAGCATGCTATGAGACCCGGGACTCAAACTGTGGTTATGTGGGAATCCAGTGCCCCCTCCCAATTTACTCCCCTCCCCCTATGTGTTTTTCAAGCTCTTAATTTCAAGCTCAAAATTTAATTTCAAGCTCTCCTCTAAGCTTTTGAAACATTTATTTATTTTTAGTTCTGACTATAGAGGATATGCACTTGCCAGAGAGAGATAGGGACAGACAGAGTGAGACATCACCCACCACCCAGAGATGATGACCATGTTGCAGTCCTTCCTTCCTTCCTTTTTGGATTTTGAGCCCACATACACATGTGTCCAGCGTGATTTCTTTTTCTTTTTTGGAGAGATTTTCGCTATAGGGCGTGTATGCTTGCCAGACAGACAGAGAGAGACATAGAGGCAGAAAGCGAGAAATCACCCCCCCAGGGGGGATGGTCACGCTGCAGTCCCTTCTCCATTCTCCTCTCGGGATCTTGGGCACACACGCACATGCACCCAGCATGAGTTTTAAGCCACTGGGTCCAGGAGGTGAACCGAGGTCGACAACGTGGGAGTCCAGCGACATAGCCATTACGCTAACTGCTGGTTCCCTCCAGCGTGATTTTTAAGCTGCTGAGTCTGATGTTCAGTCTGTGCCTTGGCCTTTGGGATCTCGCCACCTTAACCTCCACACCATCTGCTGGCCCTTATACTGGTTTTTATCTTAATATTCCTTATTTTAGCATTAATAGATAAATACATCTTTAAGTTAAAGCTAACCTGTTCCAAATAAGAATTAATGAAAAAGAGAGAAATGTCCATTAAAAAAAAGGGGGGGGGAACTCGGTATATGGTGTGTGCATTCGCTAGAGACACAGGAGAAGTAGTGTCACAGCTCTTTTAGAATTTGTCTAGCAGGTTTTCCAGTTTTTACTGGAAAGCCCCCCCACCCCCACCCCACCCCACCCCCCAAAAAAAGAAGAGAGACACAGGAGAGAGAAAATGAGAATGCGTCCCCAGAGCAATAGTCATGCCTCAGTCTCCTTTCCTTCATTCTCTTTTTGGGATCTTCGGTACACGCGCACACCGTGCTAGGTCTGAGACAACCGCTCAGCCAGTCATGTAAGATCCAGCAGCCTCAACTACCTTGCCACCTTCTGGCCTTAAGTTTTCAAAAGTTTTTTTTTTTTTTTTCTTTGCTAAAGGGAACATGCTCACTGGAGAGAGTGGTAGAGAAAGAGAAGGAAAGTGACAGAGCAACCCCCTGGAGGGATGCCTCCTAAGTAGTTCCTTTGCCTTTCTCCTCTTGGGATTTTGAGTATGCACACACATGGACCTGGCATATTTGAATGTTTTTTTTTCCCTTTTTTAGAGAGAGAGAGAGAGCTTTTTGCTATAGGATGTGTGCATCCACCAGAGAGAAAGAGAGACAGAAAATGAGAAATCAACCCCTAGGGGGGATCGCCATGCTGTAATTGCTTCTCCATTCTCCTCTCGGAATTTTGGGCATGCACGCATGCACATGCACGCATGCACATGCACTCGGCGTGAGTTTAAGCCACTGGGTCTAAGACTTGAACTGTGGTCAACTATATGAGAATCTAGAGACATAGCCATTACACCATCGCTTGTCCCTTTATTTTTTTTGAGAGGTTTTCGCTATAAGGGCACAGGCACTCGCCAGAAAGACAGAGAGAGACAGAGAGACAGAAAGCGAGAAATAACCCCCCAAGGGGATGGCCACGCCTTAGTCCTTTCTCCATTCTCTTGGGATCTTGGGACACACGCACATTCACCCAGTGTGAGTTTAAGCCACTGGGTCCAGGACTCGAACTGCGGTTGGCCACATGGTAGTCCAGCAACATAGCCATTGCCAACTGCTAGTCCCACCTGGCATGTTTTTCAAGTTCCTGGGTCCAGGATGCAACTGCACAGTTTGCCAAGTGGGATCCAACTGCCTTTAACCACAACACTACCTAACTGACTCAAATAGATTTTTTTTTTTTTTTTGACTCTTAGTAGAACATAGGCCACAACTGGGCCGGCAGATGGTGTAGTGGTTGAAGCGCTGGATTCCCACATGGCTGACCATGGTTCGAGTCCTGGACCTGGCAGCTTGCTTTCTCACTTTCCCTCTCTCTTTCCATGTCTCTCTCTGTTCAAATTAAAATAAATAAATAACAATGATGAATACAATGAAAAAAAAAAGAATTTAAAAAAAGAAAAAGAACATAGGCCACACCTAAGCCTTACTTTTGAAGTTTATACATTGCCAGCATTTGAGCTATTAGTTATTGATATTTATGTGTTTGAAAGACAGATATGCACCTTAGGATATTTCTGTCTTTGAAGAATACCATTTAAGTTATTTGGAGTATCTTTTGTGATTTCTTTTTTCACCCTTTCTATAGTAACATCTTTACCAGCAATGACTGATCGCTTGGAGTCTATAGCAAGACAGAATGGGTAAGTAGTTTATCTGTAGGCAGAAATGTTTTAAATTAGTATTAACTTCGGGTGGCTTTATTTATGTGTCTATTAATTTTTGTTTTGGTTTGTTCCTGCTAGACTGGGCTCTCATCTCAGTGCCAGTGGCACTGAATGTTACATCACGTCAGATATGTTCTATGTGGAAGTGCAGTTAGACCCTGCAGGACAGCTTTGTGATGTAAAAGTGGCTCACCATGGGGAGAATCCTGTGGTATGTGTTGCTATTTCACTGGAATCTGTGGGGTTTACTTAGGGATATTAAATTTAAAATGAATTGTTGGGGTTTACATAGCTGGGATTTAGTTTTTTTTTTTCATGAGCCACTGTAGAGATGATGTGATAGGCTACATCAGTAGCTAAAGAGTGGAATTTAGAATAACATATCCATCTCTGACATCATCCAAGGGCTTTGACTTATGGAAACATCAGAGGAACCCTTTTCATTTCATGTCAACAAACATGAGCTGCAGTTGACCACTAAGTGCTGGAAATACAGAAATCATGGTTCCTACTCTCAAAGATGCCACAGTTAAGATAGGAAAATAATCTTAAAAATCTTGTAATAGAGATAAATGTAAAATGTGTGTAACTGGCCAGTTTGATAATTGATTTTAGGGATGGCATTAAAGAGAGTTTTTTTTTTTTTTTTTTAAAGATTTTTTTCTTTATTTCACATTTCACCAGCAAGACAGACAGAGAAAAAGGGAAAGTGAGAAAGCTAGCCACCAGGTCTAGGACTCGAATCATGGTCCACCATGTGGGAGTGCAGCATCTGAACCACTGTGCCACCAACTGGTCCCAGTTCTGATGTTTAATTTTTTTTTTTTTTGAAGAGGTTTTTGCTATAGTGCACATGTGCCGGCCAGAAAGAGAGAGACAGAGAGACAGAAAGTGAGAAATTACCCCTGTGGGGTGGCCACGCCTCAATCCCTTCTGCTCCATTCTCCTCTTGGGATCTTGGGCATGCACTCATACACAAGCGCCCGGCTGAGTTTAAGCCTCCAGGTCTGGGACTCAAACCACAGTTGACTACATGGGAGTCCAGTGACAGCCATTACACCGACTGCTAGTCCCAAGTCCTGTTTTTTTTTTTTTTTTTTTGAGAGGTTTTTGCTATAGGGTACATGCGCTTGCCAGAAAGAGAGAGACAGAGAGCGAGAAATCACCCCCAGGGGGGATGGCCACACCACAATCCCTTCTCCTTTCTTCTCCACTTGGGATCTGGGCATGGACGCACACGTGCCTGGTATGAGTTTAAGCCACCGGGTCCGGGACTTGCACTGTAGTCGACTGCATGGGAGTTCAGTGACAGCCATTATGTTAACTGCTGGTCCCAGTTCTGATGTTTTAAAGAAGCTACCAAAAGTTGGTTTTTTAAATGAACTGTTTCATATATTTGAATTTTTAATTACCCACCCCATTCCTATTATTCACCAAGTAAGAGGAAGATGCTTTTTTATATCTTAATATAAGGCCTTTCTATAGTTTTTCTATTGTTGTTATAAAGCATCTGCTATTAATAAAAGAGAAATATATTTGTTGTCTTTAAAAGTGTTAATATAGTTCAAAGTTTTAACATAACTTTTTTATTTCAGAGCTGTCCAGAGCTTGTACAGCAATTAAGGTGAGTAAATAAAATTTATTTTTATTTACTTTTTAAAAATAATTATTTACTTATATTTATTTATTTTAATTTGACCAGAGAGAGACATAGAGAGAGAAAGATACATAGGGAAAGTGAGAAAACAAGCCGCCAGATCTGGGCCTTGAACCACGGTTGGCCATGTGGGAGTCCAGCGTCCTTAACCACCACGTCACCTGCTGGCCCTAGCAAATAACATTTATATACCCTGATATGGTTAGACAATGCTGTTATGCTGAATTCTTCGTGGAACAAAAATAAATAGAATCCATTCATTGATTTGAGAAGGCTTGAGAAAATGGAGTCTGTACCATGAAAGACACATTTTCACTTAGGTTTTTGACATGAAAGACACATTTTCACTTAGGTTTTTGTTTATTTCAGTTTGACCAGAGAGGGACAGAGAGAGAGAGAGAGAATGAGAGTGGAAGTGAGAAAGCAAGCTGCCAGGTCCAGGATTCGAACCACAGTCGACCATGTGGGAATCCAGCACCTTTAACCATCATGCCACCTGCCGGCCCCTATGATAAACTCTTGTCTTGTAAAAGTGCTAAGCTTGGGATCAGCAGTGGTATAATAGTTACGTCATAGGACTCCCATGTAGTCGATTGTGGTTCAAGTCCCAGACCTAGCGGCTTAAAAACTCATGCTGGGGGACCAGCAGTTAGCATAATGGCTATGTCGCTTGACTCCCACATAGTCGACCGCGGTTCATGTCCTGGACCCGGTGGCGTAAAACTCATGCCGGGCACGTGTGCATGCGTGCCCAAGATCCTGAGAGGAGAACGGAGAAGGGATTGCAGTGTGGCCATCCCCCCTGGGAGGGGATTTATCGCTTTCTGACTCTCTGTCTCTCTCTGTCTGTCTGGTGAGTGCACGCACCCTATAGCAAAAATCTCTCAAAAAAACAAACATAAAAGGGGCCCTAGCAAATGGCGTAATAAATATGTCGCTGGACTCCCATGTAGTCGACTGTGGTTTGAGTCTTGGACCTGGCGCTTAAAACACACCAGGTGCTTGTGTTTGTGTGTCCAAGATACTGAGAGGAGAATGGAGGAGAAGGGATTTTGGCTAGGCCATCCCCCTGGGGGATGATTTCTCTCTGTCTCTGTCTTTTTTAGCGAGTGCATGTGCCCTACAGCAAAAATCTCTCTCTCTAAAAAAAACTTATGCTGGGCACCTGTGTGTGTGTGTGCCCAAAATCCAGTGAGGAGAATGGAGGAGAAGGGAATGAGGTGTGGCCATCTCTCTGGAGGGTGATTTCTCACTTTCTGTCTCTCTTTCTCTGGCTCTGGCGGGCACACATGCCCTATAGCAAAATCTCTCTCTCAAAAAAAGTGTTAGGCTTGAAGACAGTCTTTTATTTATTTATTTTTTTCTTTGTTATATGGCATGTTCTCTTGCCAGAGAGAGGCAGGAGATAGAGTGAGAAATCACCCCCAGGAGGGATGGCCATGCTGCATTCCCTTCTTCTATACTCTCGGTGGGTTCTGGGCATGCATGTATATGCTCCTGGCATGCTTCTCAAGCTGCTGGTCCACAACTCAAATTGTGAAGCTGGCCATGTGTGATCCAGCTCTTTAAAGTCCCTGTAATCTGCTGGCCTGAAGATAGTCTCTTTAGCAGTTGAGTCCTTTTCCACTGACTTACATTTTCTCTTTGAATTGAATGACAATTTCCATGCTTAAATTTAAATACAGAATTAAGACATTCTGGGCATTTAAGAAAGTTAGTACATTAATTTTGTTCTAAATATGGTAAACTTCATACAATATGTGAATAAGAAGAGTTAATATTGGAGCCAGCAGATGATGCAATGATTACGTCATTGGACTCCCACGTAGTCGACTGTGGTTCAAGTTCCAGACCTGGCAGCTTAAAACTCATGTTAGGCATGTGCACATGCCTGCCCGAAATCCTGAGTAGGGGAGAAGGGATTGTGGTGTGGCCATCCCCGTCCCCAGTGGTGATTCCTCACATTCTGTCTCTGTTTCTCTCTCTGTCTCTGGCAAGTGACACACCCTTGAGCAAAATATATCTCTTTAAGAAAAAAACAAAGAATTAGCATTGTGGAAGTAAGTTTTTTTTTTAAAAAGAATTATTTTATTATTACGTTTTAAAGAATTATTTAACTTTATTTATTTATTTTAATTTGACCAGAGAGGGACAGAGTGAGAGCGAGAAAGTGAGAAAGTCTAGGACTGCTGTCAGCCATATGGGTGTCCAGCACGCTTAAGCACCATGCTACCCCCTGGACCCTAAAGAATGATTTTATTTAACTTTATTCATTATTATTATTTTAATATTTCCAGAGAGACAGAAAGAGAGAAAAGTGAGAAAACAAGACTTCAGTTCCAGGACTTGAACCGTGGTCCGCCATGGGGGAGTCCAGCACCGTTAACCACTACGCCACCTGTCAACCCCAAGGAAGTAAATTATTATTGCTTTTTTTAGGGCGCTTGTGCTTACTAGAAAGACAGAGAGAGACAGAGAAACAGAAAGCGCAAAATTATCCCCTGGGGGGGATGATCATGCTGCGATCCTTTCTCCTCCATTCTCCTCTTGGGATCTTGGGCATACACACACACACACACCCCCACGCACACACACCACGTGTAAGTTTAAGCCACTGTGTCCAGGACTCGAACTGCGTTCTATTACATGGGAGTTTAGCCACATAGCCATTGCGTCAATTGCTGGTTCTGGAACTAAGTTTTTTTTAAAGAATTATTTTTATTGAACTTTATTATTTTTTAAATTTTAATTTGACCAGAGAGGGACAGAGCGAGAGAGAGAGAGAAAGTAAGTCATTAGATCCAGGACTTGAACTGCTGTTGACCATGTGGGAGTCCATTGCCTTTAACCACCACGACATCTGGTCCCCAACTTAATGTGCTTTTAGCCAAATGTACCAAATCTTAAGTTGGTTTAAAAAGTTAGGATTGGCGGTCCAGCCAGTGTCATAGTGGTTAAGGCAGCTGGATCCCACATGGCTGAATGCATGATTTGAGTCCCAGACCTAGAGGCTTGGAAAACACACTGGGCATGTGTGTACATGTGCTCAAAATTTGAGAAGAGAATGGAGAAGGAATTGTAGCATGGCCATCCCTTTTGTTTTTTCACTTTTTCTCTAAAATGTGTGCTAGTAAGGTACTGGTGCTTCTTAGGCTGAGAGTACATGATAGGCAGGTATTTGATTCCAGCCCAATCTGAAAGTGTGTGCTTGTTGTCCCACTTGGGAGGCTGAGGCATGAGGATTGTGACAGAGCAAGATCCTGCTTTTTTTTTTTTTTTTTCTTTAAAGAGAGATTTTTGCTCTTGGGTGCATGTACTCATTGGAGAGACAGAGAGACAGAAAGTGAGAAATCGCCCTCTGGGGGGATGGCCACGCAGCAGTCCCTTCTCCTCTATTCTCTTGGGATCTTGGGCACGCATGCACATGTACCTAGTGAGAGTTTGAACCACCTGGTCTGGTTGACTACATGGGAATTGAGCGACATAACCATTATACCATCTTGCTAGTACCGCAAGACCCTGTTTTGAAATAAAAAAGTAATGCCACTTAAAAAATGACCTTTTGGGGCTGGCAGGTAGTATGGTGGTTAAAGGCGCTAGATTCCAAGATGACAGACTGTGGTTCGAGTCCCTGAACTGGTGGCTTGCTTTATCATTTTCCCTATCTCTCTGTATTTCTCTCTGGTTAAATTAAAAGTAATAATAATAACAAATACGGAATTAAATAAATAAATATTTTAAAAAGTAGACATTTTTGGATGGTAGGTGGTATGGTTGTTAAGAGCGCTGGACTCCCACATGATCGAATGAGGTTTGAGACCTGAACCTGGAGGTTTGCTTTCTCACTTTGCCTTCCTCTCTCTCACTCTGGTCAAACTAAAATAAATAAAATGAAATAAAAATTTTTTAAAAAGAAATTATGATAATGATTAATAAAATAAATAGTTCTTTAAAGAAAAACAAAATGACCTTTATACTTTAACTGGCTTGAGTCAGGCAAAGTTGTACTACCAGAATACTCCAGAAAAATTTCTGACTTTCAGTTGGAATAGAACACTGTATTAATCTATAAATCTGGCTATGTATTAAAGTTAATTGGTAATCTTGTATAGAAATGGTAAAGAATGCTGGGACCAGCCATTGGTATAACGGCTATGTTGCTGAACTCCCATGTAGTCTACCCTGGTTCAAGTCCTGGACCCGGTGGCTTAAACTCACGCCGGGCGCATGTGCATGCGTGCCCAAGATTCTGAGAGGAGAATGGAGGAGAAGGGATTGCGGAGTGGCAACCTTCTCACCAACGGGGGTAGATTTCTCACTTTCTGTCTATCTGTCTGTCTCTGTCTTTCTGGTGAGCACACCACACACCCTATAGCAAAAACCTCTCAAAAAAAAAAAAAAAAAAAGAATGTTAACTTTTGCTTGATACTTTTTATTTATTTAATTTTTTTGGAGAGATTTTTGCTATAGGGCACGTGCGCTCGCCAGAAAGACAGAGAGAGACAGAGAGATAGAAGCGAGAAATCACCCTCCAGAGGGGATGGCCATGCCACAATCCCTTCTCCATTCTCCATGGGATCTTGGGCATGCACGCACACGTGCCCGGCGTGAGTTTAAGCCACTGGATCCGGGACTTGAACCATAGTCGGCTACATGAGAGTTCAGCGACATAGCCATTATGCTAACTGCTCTTCCCCCGATACTCTTTTTTAAAATAATTGTTTTTATTTAACTTTATTTACTTATTTATTTAAATTTGACCATAGAGAGAGAAGGAAAATTAGAAAGCAAGCCCCCAGGTCCGGGACTTGAACAGTGGTTCGCCATGTCAGAGTCCAGCATGCTTAACCATCACCTGTTGGTCCTACCTGATATTTTTTATAGTTTTTTTTTTCTGTAACATGCATATGCCCACTGGAAAGACAGAAAGACAGTGATTGGGAAAGTGGGAAATCACCCCCAAAAGGCAATGGCCATGCCACAGTTCCATCTCCTCCACTGTCCTCCTAGGATTTCGAGCATACATGCATATGAGCCCAGTGTGATTTTCAAGCTGTCAGGTGTGGGACTTGAACTGAGGTTGACCATGTGAGAGTCCAGTGCCTTAACTACTATGCCACCTGTTGGCACCAACCTGGTACTTTTAATCACTTAGTGTAGGTGGTAATAGTGAGGTAGTGAATATATTTTGCTGTTGTCCTTTTTTTTAAAGTTTTTTCTTATAAGGTATATGTGCTTGCCACAGAGAGAGAGTGCGAAATCATCCTTCAGGGGGATCAGTCTGTTCTCTTTCATTCTTGGGATTTTGGGTAAACACACACGTTCATCTGGAGTGCATTTCAAGTTGTTTTGTCTAGGACTGAAACTGTATAATCAGCCAGGAGGGATCCAGCAGCTTTTTAAGACATTTTACTTATTATTTTTCATTTGACCAGAGAGAGAGGGGGAAAGTGAGAAAGTAAGCCACTAGGACTGAGACTCGAACTGTGGTTGACCATGTGGGAGTCTAGCACCTTAACCACCATGCTACCTGCCAATCCTAAGGGATCCAGCAGCTTTAACCACTATGCCACCAGCTGGCCCTGCTTGTTTCTTTCTTTCTTAAGAATTATTTAACTTTATTTATTTATTTATTTTCAATTTTGCCAGAGAGAGAGGGATAGTGAGCCACCAGATTGGGGACTCGAACTGCCCACCTACTGGCCCTGCCTCTTGTTTCTTTTTATTATATTTATAGCACTATGGCCCTGTGCTCACAGAATGTCTGAAGTATCTGGCACTCATGGCGATTTAGCATTTTAGAAAACAGATATATGTATACACTTTTTTGTAAGAGGGATTTTTTACTATAGGGTATGTATACTTGCTGGAGAGAGAGACCGAAGGGATAAATCACCCCTGGAGGGATGGCCACACTGCAGTTCCTTCTTTTCCATTCTCCTCTCGGGATCTTGGACATGCATACACACATGCCTAGAGTGATATTTAAGCCACTGGGTCCAGGATTCAAACCGTGGTTGACTGCGGGAGTCTAGTGATGTAACCATTATGCCATCTGCTGGTCCCTATATGTAGATATTTTTACAATAAGGTGCATGTGCTCACCAGAAACAAAGTGAGAAAGTATCCTCTACAGGGGTTAGCCATGCTGCAATTCTTCCCCATTTTCCTTCAAGGATTTTGGTCATGCATGCACATGTGCCTGGCATATTTTTTTTTCTTTGGATGGGGGGAGATTTTTGCTGTAAGGGCACGTGTGCTCGCCAGAGAGACAGAGATAGAGAGATAGCAATAAATCACCCCCTGGGTGAATGACCACACTGTAATTCCTCCTCCATTTTCCTCTTGGGATCTTGGGCACATGCACTCATATGCCTGGTGTCAGTTTTAAGCTGCTGGGTCTGCGACTCAAACCACATTAGATTATGTGGGAGTCCAACAACATTACTGTTTTTTTTTTTTTGGAGAGGTTTTTGCTATAGGGCGTGTGTGTTTGCCAGACAGATAGAAAGTGAGAAATCACCCCCCAGGGGGGATGGCCATGCCACAATCCCTTCTCCTCTGTTCTCATCTCGGGATCTTGTGCACGCACACACATGTGCCCGGCGTGAGTTTTAAGCCACCGGGTCCGGGATGCAAACTGTGGTTGACTACATGGGAGTCTAGCGACATAGCCATTACACTAACTGCTGCTCCCATTACTGTTACGCCATTTGCTGGTACCCCTGGCATGTTTTTTTTTTTTTTTTTAGCTGTTGGGTCTAGGACTTGAACCATGTGGCTAGCTAGATGGGCTCCAGCTGCCCTACCCTCCATGCTATCTGCTGACCCTGAAAACATATTTCAAGTTTGAAAAAAAAATATTGAGTTGGAATTGTTGAGATGTGTAGGGCTGGAAGGTGATTTGGTGGTTATGGATGCTGGACCTCCCACATGGCTGACCGTGGTTTGAATTCCAGACTTTGTGGCTTGCTTTCTCACTTTGCTTCCCTCTCTCTTCTCTCTCTCACTTTCTCTCTGGTCACATTAAAATAAATAAGTAAAAATGATTAAGTAAAGTTAGATAAAATAATTCTTAAAAATAAAAACAAGATGGGGCCGGCAAGTGGCTTGGTGGCTGGATTCCCACATGGCCAACCACGGTTTGAGTCTCAGACCTGGTGGCTTGCTTTCTCACTTTCCCTCTCTCTTTCTCTGTGTCTTTCTGATCAAATAAAAATAAATAAATAAATAAAATGAATGAATAAATAAAATTAATTAAAAAAAATAAAAACAAGAATCCGGGACCAGCAGTTGGCGTAATGGTTATGTTGCTGGACTCCCATGTAGTCAACCACAGTTTAAGTCCTGGACTCGGTGGCTTAAACTCACACTGGGCACGTGTGTGTGTGTGCTTAAGATCCTGAGAGGAGAATGGAGGAGGAGGGATTGTGGTGTGGCCATTGCTCCTGGGGGGTGATTGCTCGCTTTCTGTCTCTCTGTCTGTCTCTGTCATTCTGGCATGTGTATGTGCCCTATAGCAAAAACCTCTCAAACAAAACAAAACAAAACAAAACAAAACAAAACCCCAATCCCCCCCCCCAAAAAAAAATCACAAAAATCTAAACTGCAATATTGAGTCCTAGAAATCTAGAGCTCAGTTTAAAAAAATTATTTATTTAATTTTGTTCATTATTATTATTTTCTAATTTGTCCAGAGAGAGAAGGAAAGTGAGAAAGTAAGCTACCAGGTCTGGGACTCTATCCATGGCCAGCCATATGGGAGTCAGTGCCTTCACTCTCATGCCATCTCCTGGCCCCAACTCTAGTTCATTTTAATAGGTTTTTTTTCCTGGGGCAAATCTGTTCATGGGAATATGTGGTTTTCCTTCAGAGTACTCACCCCTTTTCCCCTTTGTTTCCCCATCTCTTAGTATTTGTTTTACTTCTCTCCTCTACTCTTATGTTTCCATTTATTTGCAAGTTCTTTATATTCCCATCATATTCTCATTACCCTTATAATTAAAATTTTTATTCTGGGGGCCATGAGGTGGTGTTGTGGTTAAGGTCCTAGATTCTCACATGGGTAACTGAATTTGAGTCCCAGACCTAGTGGTTTGAAAATCATACTGGGCACGGGTGCATGAGTGCTCAAAATCCTAGGAAGAGAGTGGCTGAGAAGAGATTTTGGTATGACCATTTCCCTGGGGGGTGATTAGTCACTTGCCCTCTCTATCTCTTTCTGGCAAGTTTTTGCCTCATGGCAAAAACCTAAAAAAAGAAAAATTACCTCAACATCTAATTTCAGATATAAAGAGGAAAGGAAAGTGCTTTCCTTTAAACCAGATTTCATTATTTAGGTGCTAACTAGTAAAAAATAGGGATTTGCATTTAAAAAAATTTTTTTGTAAAAAAATATTTTGCTAGAGGGTTCACACATTCATTGGAAAGAGAAAAGAGAGAATGAAGTGAGAAATCACCTTTCTATAGTGGATGGTTATATTTCAATCCATTCTCCATTTCTTTCACCTTTTGAAATTTCACTCAGACTTGTGCCTCTTTTTTTTTTCCCCTCAAGCTGTTACATCTGGGACTCAAACTGTAGAGTTAACCAGATGAGATCTAGCTGCCATAACCACTACGCCACTGACTGGACTGAATTAGTAGCTCTTTTGACTGTTTTCTTTTTGACTTTTATACTGCTTATTAGCAGCATCTCCAGAAAAATGTGACAGAGAGAGAAAGGAAAATCTTTTCTTTTGCTCCTCTTGATTGACTAGAAAACTTTGGGGGAAAAAGGTTAGTACAGACTACTACTATATATATATATTTTTTTTTTTTTAGAGATTTTTGCTATAGGGTGCGTGTGCTCGCAAGAAAGAGAGAGACAGAGAGACAGAAAGCGAGAAATCCCCCTCAGGGGGATGGCCTTGCAGCAATCTCTTCCCCTCCATTCTCTTCTCAGGATCTTAGACATGCACGCATACGTGCCTGGTGTGAGTTTAAGCCACTGGGTCAGGGACTTGAACTGCAGTTAACTACATGGGACTCCAGTGACATAGCCATTGCGCCAACTCCTGGTCCCAGTACAGATTATTAAAATCAATTTCTTAGGGGCCAGCAAGTGGTGTGGTTGTTAAGGTGCTGGATTTCCACATGTCCAACTAGTTTGGGCCTCGCACCCAGTGGCTTGAAAATCACATCAGACACAAGTGTGTGTTCCCAAAATCTCAATAAGAGAATGGAGGAGAATGGATTGAGGTGTGGCTATCCCCTCTGGGGGTTGATTTCCCACTTTCCCTCTCTCTGGCAAGCATATGTGCCTTATGGCAGAAACTTTGGGAAAAAAAAGAGTGAGTTTTATATAGCCTTGATGTTTGACACTGTATTGTACGATTGAATACTAATAATATGTTGTAATTTTCTCCTTCCTCCCTCTTCCTGAACTCCCTATAGGGAAAAAAATTTTGATGAATTTTCTAAGCACCTTAAGGGTCTTGTTAACTTATATAACCTTCCAGGAGACAAGTAAGTATTTTCCTTTTTTTATGTTTTGTTTGGAAAAATCAGTTTAAATCAATAAGCTATGTTGTGCTAGAAATTTCCCTTCTCCATTTTCCCTTTCATCTGGAGTTTTTCTGGTGTATTTTATTCCTGATTTCTACTCATAGGTCAGCTTCTAACTTTCTCTATTTTAAAAGTATTTTATCAGTAAATAGGCCAGTTTTTCTTTTTCCTTTTTTTTTTGAGAGGTTTTCGCTATAGGGCGCATGCGCTCGCCAGACAGACAGAGAGAGACATAGAGACAGAAAGTGAGAAATCACCCCCCAGGGGGGATGGTCACGCCGCAATCCCTTCTCCTCCATTCTCCTCTCGGGATTTTGGGCACGCACACACACGCGCCTGGCGTGAGTTTTAAGCCACTGGGTCCGGGACGCAAACCGTGGTCAACTACGTGGGAGTCCAGCGACATAGCCATTACGCTAACTGCTGCGTCCCACCTTTTTGCTTCTTAAAGGAGATAACAGAAAGAGGGCCAGCAGACGTCCTAGTTGTTAAGGTGCTGGACTCCCACATGGTCAACAGTGCTTCAGGTTCTGGACCTGGCGGCGTGAAACTGAAACACTGGGCATGTGTGTGTGGATGCCCTAAATCCTGAGAAGAGGATGGAGAAGGGATTGCGGCATGGCCATTCCCCCATGGGATGATTTCGCACTTTCTCTGTTTCTGGCATGTGCAGTCCCTAATAGCAAAAATCTCTCTAAAACAACAATAAAAAGATAACAGATAGGGAACCAGCAGTTAGCGTAATGGCTATGTCGCTGGACTCCCACGTAGTCGACCGCGGTTCGTGTCCTAGACCCGGTGGCTTAAAACTCACGCCGGGCGCGTGTGCGTGCATGCCCAAGATCCCGAGAGGAGAATGGAGGAGAAGGGATTGCGGCGTGACCATCCCCCCTGGGGGGTGATTTCTCGCTTTCTGTCTCTGTGTCTCTCTCTCTGTCTGTCTGGCGAGCGCATGCGCCCTATAGCGAAAACCTCTCAAAAAAAAAAAAAAAAGATAACAGATAAAAATAAGTTTTGATAATACTAAAAATAAGCTTTGGTAGTGATAAAAATCACTTGATTTTTTTAATGTTTTGAAGATGTGTTTTTTAAAAAAAATTTTTAGTTACCTCCAATTTAGATTTGCATTCTAGGTTTTCTTTATTAATGTTTGTGTGTGTAAATGTGTATCTTTTCAACTATTAAGCTATGTTTCCTCATCTACTTTCCAGCAAACTGAAGACTAAAATGTACTTGGCTCTTCAGTCCTTAGAACAAGATCTTTCTAAAATGGCAGTGATGTACTGGTAAGACTGGCTAAGCATCAGTTCCGTACAATTCTGGGTTTTTCACCTAGGGAGTTTTGGGATTCTGTTTTATACATCTACCATAGTTAAATATGATTATATTACACATGTATATTTTATATACATCTGTATTTATATTTAAGGTATGTATGATAAACTCTTGTAATAGTCCTAGGCTTGAAGACAGTCTCTCTTTAGCAGGTGGGTGCTTTTTCCACTGAAATGTAAAATACAATTGTTTAGTTTCTATTTATATATATTTTTGCATTATCACCTATGCTTTTATTTTTCTAATGGTTTATTTCTCCCATGAGTAAGAGCAGAGAGATGTGGGATGGTACTCTCATCTAGGTCTTCATGCCATGGTCTACTCTTGGCCTTTATCATCCAGTGTTTTCAGGGAGACCCTAAGATGCGAACTAGGACTATTTCATGTGGGTCCAGTTGTGTTTCCTCTGTGCAACATCAGACCCTGTATTATATATTTTTTTTATTGGCAGATGTAAGCACTTGTCAGAGAGACAGAGAAAGGAACGGTCATGCCACAATCCTTTTTGCATTTCTCTTTCCTTTTGGGGCTGTGAGGATTTGCACACATGCACCCGACATGTTTTGCAAGCTTAAAAAGTAAAAGTCTAACTCACCATGTTACACAGTCATGTACACTTGGAAATAATCCTTTTACTTTGAAGGGGCATATGCTTGCCATATTGCCCATTCATAGGACATAGTCATTAGGATAGTGTTGTGAGACTTTTAAGAGAACTCATGTCGGGACCAGCAGTTAGCGTAATGGCTATGTCGCTGGACTCCCACGTGGTCGACCGCGGTTCGAGTCCTGGACCCGGTGGCTTAAACTCACGCCAGGGGCATGTGCGTGCGTGCCCAAGATCCTGAGAGGAGAATGGAGGAGAAGGGATTGCGGCGTGGCCATCCCCTCTGGGGGGTGATTTCTCGCTTTCTATCTCTCTGTCTCTCTCGGTCTGTCTGGTGAGCGCATGCACCCTATAGCAAAAACCTCTTCAAAAACAAACAAAAATTTTTTTTAGACAAACATTTTTTTTGAGAGGTTTTTTGCTATAGGGCACATGCACTCGCCAGAAAGACGGAGCGAGACAGAGAGACAGAAAGCAGGAAATCTCCCTCCAGGGGGCATGGCCATGCCTCAATCCCTTCTCCTTCATTCTCCTCTCGGGAT